TCAACAATGACTGGTTGTGATGTGTTTTTTCCCTATGTAAAAAAACACATTTTATTTTATCTAATTTATTTATTGAGCTTGGTTTGCTTTTTAATTCACCTTTCCATTCCACAATACCACTTCTCATCAGAATGGCCCTGCAAACTACAGGGGTCTCTCTGAAATTGGGATGGAGGGCAAACACAAACTAATTTTCAGTTTCAAGAGAATAAGGATGATGTTAGTTTCAGAGGCAGCCCTAGGTAATTTTCAACAGTAAGCAAACAGTATTTTGGCGCCCTCCCCCCAAAAACCAATCACTGATATATATTTTCTGTTCATCGTGGGAGTTCTGTGTGCCATATTTGGTTCAATTCCATCATTGGTGGAGTTCAGGATGCTCTTTGATTGTAGGTGAAGTATACATCCCAGTGACTATAACTCGCAAGGTCTATTTTCCCCCAAGAGTGCCTCAAGAGCGCCCCTGGGCAAAATCAACTATACTGCAAATGCTTACTTTGCGTAATGGGTTGAGCCGCCCCTGGTTAGATAGCTTCCATGGAGAGCCAGCCACACTACACTTTATGGACAATCCAGTAGACAATTCTTAACTGTATGTACTCATCACTTGGCAGAGGAAAGACATGCTTCTGGGATCCACATTTGGTACTTCTACCAGGACACCCTGCTTCCCTAGTTACATATTTTGGCTTTCCCTTGCCATTTCCTATTCCCAAATGCAGCCATAAACTATGCTAATCCATTGCTTACACAATAAAACAAGAGAGCTAATAATAACCTTACACATTTTCAAATGAGCACCATATTCTCACACACAAACTCAGATGGATGCCTGTGTCTCACCTTTCCTAGATCTCATACCTCCTTATATGGGTTGACACATAGTGCTATATCTTATCTGCAAGTGGGTCTCAACAGTTTCTTTTGTATTCCTGGTAGCCTCCCTTCCTTCACAAGTTCCACTTAAATGGCATATGTCCAGTCTTCATCTCCAGAAATAGTTCAGGGAGATGTCACCTTTATCTTTGAATAACTATTTGTGATACGCTCCAAATGCTTTGCAGTCACACTGCACTCTTTGTCAGGCTATTATTCTGGAAAATCAGCACTTCAACAACAATAAGGAAAATACCCAGTGCTGTTGACATGAGTTATATTTTTCCATTTGCTGAACAGCTCTCAGTTAACTCAAAGACTTGCTTCAAGCACTTTCAATACTAATTGAGCCAAATATACATAGACATGTACTAGGCAAACATACATTTTTATCAACTGATCTGCATTTCTTGACATGCGTACAATCTGGTACTACAGTTTTGATAAATTCAATATTTTTTTTAATAATCTCTCATCACATCTATGATGTTATTTCAGGGAAAGACTCAACATTCCCCTTTCGCAAATTTTCTCCAAAGTGGGAACCAGCTGACCTGCTGCATGTGAATTACTTCTGCCACTTTTTTGCAAGCGAGTGAAGCCTCAGGCCTCACATGTGGAAATGCTTCCTTTTCCCATAATATTCAGGAAATGTTTTGTTGAGGATTTCACATTTGCATGTTCACTGTACAGACAGCTAGCATCTGCATGTGAATAAGAATCGGCTATTTATTTTTTATTTCTTATGTTGCTAATAGCTTTGAATTTGCACAACAGAATAATAAAGAACAGCATCTCTCCCTATGTTCAGTTCACATTTAGAACCAAAAAGGTTAGATATGTAAAACTAGTAAAACTACTTGAAATGTTAAAGCCTATGGGGGAGAAGAATTTTTTTCTGGGAAAAAATTGCAATATTTATCAAACCCAAATCTGTTCTACTGCATTAGCAACAAAAACATTTCATTAATAATTTAGCATACAAAATTGAACTTTTTGGCATATTTATGAGATTTAAAAATATAAATGCCTTAATTATGTACAAGTAAAACTGTACTGTAAAACTGTGACCATAGGAGTACTTTGGTTTTTGCCTCCCAAAAAGGTGGAATCAGAAACCAAAAAAGAAAAAAAAAGAAAAGAAAAGAGAAATGACATTTTAATTTTTTTCAGTAAACAAAATTAAATTTCTCTCTGAATGAGTGGCCAATTGGACAGAAAACTGCCACAGTCTTGGAGACAAGGCCAGGAGCATGATGGGATACAACCCTAAAAATATAACACTTTTCAAGAGAATATAATCAAAGAATGAAAACTCCGCCTCATATTATCTTTGTGAAAATGAGCAAACTAGTCAAATGTGGGCTAGGCAATGCTACTATTAGATGGATCTGTAGTTGGTTAAGCAACTGACTCCAAAGGATGCTCACCAATGGTTCCTCTTCATCCTGGAAAGAAGTGACTAATGGATTGCTGCAGGGGTTGGTCCTGGGCCCAGTACTGTTCAACATCTGTATTAATGACTTGTATGAAGGTTTAGAGAACATGCTTATCAAGTTTGCAGAGGACACCAAATTAGAGGACAGGATCAGAATTCAAAATTACCTTAACAGTTTAGAGAGCTGGGCCAAAACTAACAAAACAAATTTTAGCAAGGACAAATGTTAGATACTCCACTTAGGCAGAGAAAATGAAATGCAAAGATACAAAATGAGTGATGCCTGGCTTGAGAACAGTCCACATGAGAAAGATCTTGGAGTCTTCGTGAACAACAAGTTGAACATGAACCAAAAGTGTGATGCAGCAGCTAAAAAGACCAATGGGATTTTGGGCTGCATCAAAAGGAGTATAATATCTAGATGGAGGGAAGTTATAGTGCCTTTGTATTCTGCTTTGGTTAGACCTCACCTGGAGTACTGTGTCCAATTCTGGACACCACAGTTCAAAAGAGGTATTGACAAGCTGGAAGATGTCCAGAAGAGGGTGACTAAAATGATAAAATGACTGGACACTATGCCCTATGAGGAGTGTCTTAAAGAACTGGGTATGTTTAGCCTGCAGAAGAGAAGGTTGAGAGGAGACAGGATAGCCATGTATAAATATGTGAAGGGATGTCATAAGGAAGAGGGAGCAGGCTTGTTTTCTGCTGCCTTTGAAACTAGGAAAAGGAGCAGTAGGTTCAAATTACAGGAAAGGAGATTCCACCTGAATATTAGGAAGAACTTCTTGACTATAAGAGCTGTTCAACAGTAGAACTCTCTGCCTCGGAGTGTGGTGGAAAGAAGCTCCTTCGTTGGAAACTTTAAAACAGAGGCTGGATGGCCATCGGTCAGGGATACTTTGTGCTTTTCCTGCATGGCAGGAGGTTGGACATGGTCTCTTCCAACTCTACTATTATAGGATTCTATGAAATGCCTCTTGATTTAATTGTTTTACAGTCTAATATATGTACAGCAATTATTCTTGATTAATTATGTCTTGAGCACTGGACTATGTCTATGGAGACCAAGGTTTAAATCTCCACTTGGCTGTGAAAACACACTAAGTAATCCTGGACAAATCATACTCTCTCAGCCTCAGAAGAAGGCAACAGAAAATTCCTCTGAGTAAAACTTTACATTAAAGATACTACAGTGCAGAAACACTACCATCTTTCTGGGTGTCCTTGTAGGAATGCTGAGGACACCTAAACATGTCCAAATACAAATTGCCTGTTCCGTGTATAATACAGCAAGGGGGTTGAAGGAAGCATCTCCATAGAAGTATCAACTGCATTTCATTTCTTGACTCCTTCCAAGTCAGATTTCAAGAAGTAGCACTCTTAGATGCTTGTCTTTCACAGATGGCATACGGCCTACACTGTAATCCATGGCATCCAAATGTTGGCAGCCTTTTGGACTTTGAGATAAGATCTGGTATATTTTAATGAGGAAGAATGGACTCTTTGTACCAAAATTTTGAGGCATCCAGGAAAGATCAGGTTGAGCTATGAAGCTCCTGACTTATCTCCAACTCTTCTTCATTTTACACTCACAATGATCTTTCTGATGACACCATAAATGATTTTAAATACAGGGAACACAATATCAAATCTAGAGAGATAACTCAGATTCAGTGAAAGAACCCCCCTCCCCATTTCCTCCACATTTCTCTGCACTTCTCAAACTCTGCACATGTCATCTGTCTCCTCCAAAATTTCCATGTGGTTTCAGAACTTGACAGAAGAAGAAAGAGGAAGGCCAAGGAATGCAATTAAAAATCAACACCAGACCAGGAGAGAGATGCCCTACTGTCGGCTGCTTTTTATGTTATCAGAATTTCATTTCCCCTCTCAGAGAGGGAAGTAAACCCAAGAACATAGTTTAGGTATGTGACTGACATCCAATTCATACTGGTTTCTGGCATATGCTTTCTTACTTTTAGCCTCTGTTTCCTCCCAGCACAAGGTGAGGAGGGTTTAAATTTGATTGCTCATAAGTAGAATATGGCAGGTTTTTTTTTCATCCCTTTGTGAACCCATGTGGAGAGATGCAAAAACAACCTGGCAGCCTGTGTTGATGGCACTGAGTCACACAACACTCTAACTTCAAGCAAGGACCTGCCATGGATTCAAGGGAACAAAAACAGCCACTGTGTGCTTGGCAATCATGTGAACTGCTCTGCTTCTTTGTCACTGCATTTAGAGGCTCACAATGGAGAGGAAAAGACTCCCTATCAATAAATTAAATAACCCTTTTGCCTGACAAGCATCACACAATGCAAGTTCAATTTACACAGATTAGCTCAGCAGAAGATTTCCCTCTCTACCAACAGCATATACCATATGGCCCTTCTGAATTTGTCTAGCAAATTATCTTTGCAGCAAGGCAGAAAAGAGTAAGAGATAAAGAGAGAGACTTTGTTGCTAAGCTGTTGCATTTTTATGCAGACAATCAGTCCCTGCCAGATTATTTATAGACCCAAACCTAAACACACAAGCCAAGATTTTGAACATGGATTCATCACAAACCACTACATTAACTCAAATCCAGGAGCAGGTTCAACAAGAGGCCAGGATTCTTCAGTCCTTCAGAACCCAGCCAGGGACACCTTCATTTTCCTATTAGAGCAATACATCTTCTTACCTTCTACTGGTGAGGTCTTCAATCTCTTGCACAAACTATGAACTCCCCCATAGGTGTCATTTATCCGATTCACTGCCTCTCCACTGCGAACCTCCATGAGACCCCGGAGGTCCATAACTGAGCAACCAAATTCCCCCTCATGGCTGCCCTCAGCAACAGAGTTCCCAGGATGGTGATCTGCAGAGTTGTTCGTCATCTTGGAAAAATGAGGAGCAGGTTTCTCAAGCAAACAACACAGTGCTGGGTGCTACTTTTTCAGGCCTGTCTCTCTTTCCTATACAAAATAGGAGCTGGCAATGCAAACTTTGAGTTCCACATAGAAAGCAGCTCACTTCTGTGGCCTGTGGAGCATCAGAAGCAACATCAACCGAGACTCGGAAGAAGAAGACTGTATCTCAGACAGCTGGGCTGAAGTGGTGGATGGAGAATGGGTACTTCTTTCTTTGCAGCTCTCCAGGTGAAGCTGGTGAAACTAACCAAGCCCAACTTCTTCACATGGAGGTATAAACAGGATGCACATGTTATTGTAGAAGAAACCTTAGCAACAAGCAGCGTGCAGCTCCCAGAGAAAGAGATGGGTTCCCTGGATACCGTCTTCAACCAAAACTGCAAGACAAGGATTTGAAACAAAAAAATAATAGTTAATAAGAGCCCAAAGGGACCAGCTAATATACACATGGATACAATGGATGCAGCAACAATTCAATACAGAGAAGGGAAGCTGCTAGGGAAGCAGTAATGGGTGAAAAATAAGCCACTGGGAAATTGTGGCTTCTAATGGAGAGTTGGGAAATGTGCAGTACTGTAGTAGCCTCCCGCGAAGGCGGATCTGGCCGGAGTGGTCCATGCCTTGGTCACCTCCAGATTGGATTACTGCAATGCGCTCTACGTGGGGCTGCCCTTGAAAATGGCTCGGAAGCTCCAACTGGTCCAACGATCAGCAGCCAGGATGCTAACTGGGGTCCCTTACAGAGAGAGGTCAACCCTCCTGTTTAAGGAACTCCACTGGCTGCCGTTTATATTCCGAGCCCAATTTAAGGTGCAGGTGCTTACCTACAAAGCCCTGAACGGTTTGGGACCAGCCTACCTGCGTGACCGCATTTCTATCTACAAACCCACACGTTCTCTTCGGTCATCTGGAGAGGCCCTGCTCGTGATCCCACCGGCGTCGCAAGCGCGCTTGGTGGGGACGCGGGACAGGGCCTTTTCCGTAGTGGGCCCCCAACTCTGGAACACCCTCCCCAAAGACCTTAGACAGGCCCCTTCATTGGCTATCTTCAGAAAGAACTTAAAAACTTGGCTTTTCCGATGCGCCTTCCCAGATTAGGAAACCTCCACTACCGAGTCCCATAAGCACTTTACAAGAACCAATGATTGCTGCACACTGCACATCGCACTTGCCCTAGAAACCCATTATACACCTCCTGTCAAATCAGCACTTTTAATCCTTATACCCACCGTTTGGCCCGGCCCAGTTTTATTGTGTTTTAATGTAATGTGTTTTAATGTACTGTGCCTGTTGTTTACTTTGCTTATTTTGTTTTAATTGTTTGATTTGCCTGATTGTACTGTTATGTTGTGTTGTTGAGGCCTCGGCCTGTGTAAGCCGCATCGAATCCTCTGGGAGATGCTAGCGGGGTACAAATAAAGTTTAATTAATTAATTAATTAATTAATTAATAATAGAGCCAGGGCATAGAGTACTGAAGGCCTGCCATTCTGTGATTAGTCAGGCTACTACCCTTGCACCCCTTTTTAGCTGCAATCCTTGAAATAGTTATAAGAAGTATAGGCTTTTTCAGCAGCAGTGTAGTTTGGTTACTTCTATAGTAAAGAAAAATGTTGAGGCTTAATTTTGAGTGGGCAAGATCCATTTCATTTACAAAAGACATGTTCTGTATGGAGTTGAAAAAATATGTACAAGCATCTGAATTTTTAGCTTTCTCATTGATACCCTGCTATTGGATCTGGGAACATGCAGCCCTACAGATGTATTTATTAAAATATTTGTTCATTGTCTCTCAGCCTACAAGAAACCTCAGAATAATACACAAAAAATAAGGACAGATTAGAACACACTTTAAAAATAAATCAAAATAATATTTTAAACATGTTTTAAAGCACCCATAATTAAAACGGCAACCTTCCATTTTGGGGACCAAAGGGCCCACAAAACAGAAGTTAAGTAAAGATTGGATGGACATTTTCAGGAGTATTTCTGTGGTGTGTTTTTGCATGGCAGAGTTGAGGTCCTTTCCAATTCTATGAGTCTAAAAAATGCTGTAGTCTTGGCAGCCAGAAATGGAACTGGTCTGAGTTCACCTGGGAGAGAGTTCAACAACCAAGCTATTGCTTCAGAATTAGCCATGTTTGGCTATTATTTGCCTAACTAGCCTCTCGGGTTGGGAGGACATGTAACAGATCTTCCAATGATGCTCTTGACTTTAATGGAAGTCTATACAGAAAGGATATCCTGACCCTAACCCAATTATTATGTTGTAGGACAAAAAACCAGCAGCTTGAATTCAGCTCAGAAGTCAATGTAGTTGATGCTAGTTGTAAATGGTTTAAAAAGTGCATACCAGATATAAATCTGTCATTTCTATTTTGCACTAGATGTAGCTTTCAAACATTTTTCAAGGGAAGTTCCACATACGGCACACTGCAGCATTCAAATTCCAATTTCTATATGGACTAGAATTGCAACAACGAGTTTTCAGCATTTTCTACATTGATTAGGGATAATGGGGAGATGCAATTCAACACTATCAGGATAGCCACCTGTTCTACATGAGCCTCTATGGCTTCAAGTGGTCCTATCATGAATGTACAACACTAGAGTTAAAGAGAAATTCTTTAATCTTCTTGGCAATGTGGTAGGCCTCTTGCCTTGCCCAGCATTTTTCTTTTCAGCTTTAAGTTGGGAAGGGGTGGAAAGGAATACACTTTTAATAAGACTCTATATTAGATGGGCTCTGAGCATTTCTTAAAAGAACAGTGTGCAAAACAGACTGACACTAGATTTCCCTGTGTTTGAAATTGAGGAAAAAGAGTGAGACTGGAATTGCTCCTGACATTGTGCAATTCTTCAGAAGGCTTTGAGCATCTCTGAATCTCTATATGCATTTTAAACAGTGTATTTTAATATTGAGGCAAATGTTTTTAATGTTTATGCATACATATAATGAATTCATGTCCCGCCGTTGAATGTTTGCCGTTTGTATGTTGTGCTCCCTTTCGGGGTGAGAAAGATGGAATATAAATGTTTTAAATAAATAAATAAATTTCCAGCAGATCTTGGAATGGTTAGCATCTAGAGAGCACTGAACCCAGCCAACGCCGAATATGGACCAAACTTGGCAAACAGATTCAACATGGCCAACTGTAAATACAGGTGGAGTTTGGGGATGATTGTCCTTGGCACATGGGAGTTATAGTTCACCCTTATCCAGAGAGCAATGCAGCCAGACGATGAAGTATCTGGACCAAACTGGACACACAGACCCAAAATGGCCAAGTTTGAATACTGGCGGGGTTTGGGGCGGGGGCTCGATCTACGATTCTGGGAATTGTATTTCACCCACATCAAACTGATAATACCTAACATCCAAACAACCCGGGCATCACTGGGTCCCCAACCTAGTATCAAAACAAAGTAACAAGAGAAAAACAACAACTCCTAAGTCTATTTTACCATGCATAGGTTTTTTTATTCTCTTAAGTTATTCTTCCAACAGTATGTGCACCAAGATCTTGTGGGAACCACACAGATTTTCTCCTGCTATTCCAATGCAGATGCCAGGTTTAAAGTGGTAATGTTCATCAGGCTTGTGGAAGTGGAGAAAAAGGCATATGTCCTCCATGGCAATTCTTAACTTTGCTCCAATCCAGCTGTTATTTGCAGGAAAATAAAAGAACAAATGGAAAGCCACATTTGTTTGACAACAAGAGAAATATCTAGTGTGGACAGCAATCAGGCTCACTTCTGTTACAGGGGCCCAGCTAGGTTATGATGGTATATCTAGAGCAGTGGTTCTCAACCTGTGGGTCCCCGGGTGTTTTGGCCTACAACTCCCAGAAATCCCAGCCAGTTTACCAGTGGTTAGGATTTCAGGAAGTTGAAGGCCAAAACATCTGGGGACCCACAGGTTGAGAACCACTGGACTAGAGAGAAGGTGAGTTTCCATGGCTGAGTATTTTCAAGCCCTGCTCCCCCTGAATCTTAGTTTAATACTCAAAAACACTAAACTACATTGTCTTTCTAGCCAAGGCTAGGTTATTAATGGTGAAACTAGGTGTCTTATAGTGATGCTGCCCCACATGCTTCTTGTATTATGATGCTGTTAAGAAAGAAATGCTTCTGAGGAAGATGAGCAGTAGATATTTTTCCATCTATTATTCCCAAGGGCTGTTGGTGTTTATCACTTACTCTGATCCCATTTTTCACCTATTGAGCAGATGAAGAGGCAGGTACTGTACTGCCATTGCTTGAGAAGGGCCTTGCTGTCTGCTGTTAATCAAACACTCAGTTGAGGACCGGCATTGAACCCCACTTATCTTTCCATTGAGCAGAAATATATAACCCACAGTCTACATAAAGCTCTCACTCATGAGTTGTATAACACCCACTCACATTTCCCCATAACTAGTTGAATGGGACAATGAGTTCACAGCAGGCACTGAGTTCACTGTTAAGGAAGTAACCCCACTCCTCTCTCTATCACAGGAGGTAAGAGCTATTGAGTATTGGACTATGAATCTGAAGATCAGGGTTTGAACAAATCCTGCACCATCCATTTCTTTCTCCCCCCCCCCTCCCCCGTGCTAGGTCCATGTTAGGGCCAGCACAGCTCAGAAACCATTGGAAAGCACACAGAAGTAATGTTTAAATCTGATGTGCTACAAGGAGTGGACACTGTTTTCAAATTTCTAGTTTGCTCAATCCCCAATGCCAAGATTTTGTTCAATGAATATGTGTTAGAAAGGTAAGTAAAATTTACAGAATGGCACCCTTCTTTGATTTTTTTTAAAAAAACCCAACATAATGATATCAGGAAGAGGCCACGTACCACATGTAAAGAGAGAACCAAAATGACAATTTCTGAAGCTATTTAAAGAAAGTATCCTGTTATCTAGTAAGAACCAGAGTAGTATTCACTATTTTGGATTCGACACAAGAACATAACATAAGCTAATAAGCGGTTTCAACCACATACCAGACCACCCAGCATTGGCAAATGACAATCTGTGTGAAGGAAATCACCAGTTATGGAAGGCTAGAAAAAGGAAAACTGCAACAGATGGATGTTGGAGGAATTTAGTGGGGGAAATAAGGAAATGTTCAAAGGACAAACTGTTATGCTCCCTAATCACATCCTCCCCAGACTTGATAATAACAGGGCAAGTTGTACTTCTGTCCTTCACCCAGAATCCCTGGTTCTGTGATGAATGAATAAGAGTTACAGTCATGAGTCAGGAAGCACAAAGAGATATGGCAAGTATGCACATTTAACCCAGATTCTTCCCCCAAGACCACCAGAAGTGGATTTATCCAGAAAAAGGGTGAATATTGTGCCACCTTCCAGGTGCTGTCACATTGTAGACCCC